CAACTGGGAGATGCCCGATGGAAATGTACCATCTTGAAAGTAAATAAATCTCCGGCCTTTTCGGTTTTCTTTATAAAATTTCGTATTTATCATAAGTTGAAATGCGTTTACTGCATATAACTTGCTTCTGGTAATGAGTTCTTATGAATGTTTAAGGAATCTATATTCACCTTCTAATGACTAATACTCATTGCATTGGTTCGGGATTTTCTGTAATGGTGATGAATCATCGGTGCTATTGTTCTCTCTGGTATAGGTTACTTGGAGTTTAGTCCCCTTGATTACATATTTTTGGGATTTGATAATGTCGCAAATAGATTGGCTTTCCTGATGCGAGTTAGAAGAGGTTTTTTTCTATGTTCATGATCTTAAACAACTCTGCAGTTGCATGTTGTTGATTTCTCCAAGAGAAACCACAAGCAAGGAGAGGTAAAATGTTAGTTTCACTTTTCATATAACATGAAATGGCGATTCACATAGAATCGACTATTCTTTCTGCACTCAAAGATAACATGAGTCGAAAAGTATTTGATCATCGAGAGCCATGATGATAACATGATTCAAGTAGTGTATAGTTCTCATTCGAAACTGAACAACTCTCTAGGAACAGATCAAGTAGAGAGTCCTTTCTTATATAAAACAGTCATTTTCGATTTCCATTCGTTCCAACAAAATTCAGTTAGGTTAAAATCTTCCTTGTTTTTTTTTTTTTTTCTTGTCATGTCAAAATATTAATACGCATAGATGGGAAATCTAAAAGTTAAGGATGTTGAGAAATTACTTTTGACATGTTTTTATGAAGAACATTTCCAAAAAAAACAAATATATTACATATAGACTTCATTATCTAGATAAGCTATTTTCGTTTTTTTGGATTCAGTTCTACTAGTTTGGTTCTGAACAAATCTATAGTTCGATTTGAACTGAAATCGAGTTGGTTCAGTTGAGTTTTGGTTTAAAATGTCACACTAGTGGAAACTTTACAAAGCCTTAGAGAATCCTCACTCACATTGCATATCGACTCAGGGAAGCATGGTGGATCATAGAATCAAATGGGCTTTTGAATATAGTGTAGGCCCATAAATCAGGTCTACTTCATGTGACTATCTTAATTCTAAAATGGTGAACTTTCATTTCAAATGCAATGTTCATAGTTTTCAAAATTCTTTATAAAATGTTGATCTCTTATAATAAAATTTAACCATTTATACTAATAGTTATTTTTTGCCGTGAACACAGTTAAATTTTTTATATTTATGAAACCATACCATTTTAAATAGTTAAATTACAGAGAGTAAGTGATTGATAGGTCACATTGCGGTTGATATCATAAAAAAAAATGCGGTTGACAAAAAAATTATAAATCATGAAAAAAATAAACCAGAAAATTAGGTCACATTCGATATCAGAGAGGTTAAGCTTTAGGTACATTTAATTGAATCATGATTGAATCTTACAATAGATTATTAGATTCTCAATGTCTTCAACTTTTTATCGGCGAATCAAAACGGAAGGACGTAATGTAATGAATGTGTTCTTTCACTTAATATAAATTTTCAACTTGCATAGAAAGTAAGTGACTGATAGGAATCTATTATAGCCAGTGGGTGGGATTAACCAATCACTTTGTAATTAAAACGAAATAATTTAATCAAAGCATTATGATGTTTTACTAATTAATCTTTTGATTTGGTAAGAAGCAACCAATTGGATAAGAGTTCACGCGTCAGCAATCTTTAAAATACAATAATCACATCAAACATGAATTCATGCTTGCTTTTTCAATTTTATAAACTTACAATTGAACAGTGTGTACTTTTATTTTTACTTTTTAGTAACACTTAAATATGATAGTAAGTTAACTATTAATCACAAATTGAAAAAATCGTAAGTGCAAACACAATTTCAAAGTCGTGCGACATAAAACGTAAGAGTAGTTATTCTATACCAAAAGGGCAAAGAAACATATTCTAAATGTAACTTATGTTGTTTAATAGATTGACATCATAGAAAGTTACATAGGTGTTATTTTATTTCAAAGCATTTGTAAATAGTTTTTGATGTTGGACCTTTCTGTTTCTTTATGATTAAATTGGATACCGTGTGGAATTTGAAGTGAAGGTTGTGGAATCTTTTTATACAACTAGATTAACAAGTTGTCTAACTCTTTTCGTCGAATTATTGATGTTTTTTAAGTTTGATATGAATTATAGTTAGTGGTCCTGCTCTTAATAATCTATAGGTCAAAATAT